TCTAGTTTCAGCTGAAAGCTGAAGGCCTAAGGATCTGCTCAGCTGTTCCTTCTGACGGGCGAAAGAGTAGAAACCGAATCCCTGTAGATGAAGATGGCCACCCAGAACAGGAGGCTCAACTGCCAGCTGTAATGAAAACCTTCCATGGGGTATACTTGGCAGCTTATTTCAAATGTGATACACTGCTCGCTTTGTGCGCTTGCCTTCTGTTGTGGTGGCTTCCTCATGCTGAACCATAAAACGCGTACACAGTGGGCACCGCTCCTGGTGCCAAACGTGGCCTGGGAGTCGGCACGGCCATCCAGCTGGCGTAAGTGTCTTCTGTGAAATCCCTGCCCTTGCCTCTGGGAAGAACCCAATGGTTTTCTTCTTGGTCTGCCATACCGCAGCTGTCGTAAGGCACGGTGAGATGCCGTCGGATGATACCTCTTAGTGCAGGAAGGTCTTGCAGGGAAAACGAGCTGCTTGGATGCCGTAGTACCTGCTTGCAGGAATATTGGCAAAACTTTTCCCTTCAGCTTTTTGGGGCTAGGTTAGCGATGATTCAGCACTGCGCACACTGCTGCTCGCTGTGATAACTTGTTAACATTTGCTCTTAGGCCTCTCTGTGACTGGGAAAGCTGTTTGTTTTGTGGTACAGTTGTCTGAAATTCAAACTGTAGTAACATTGAAGTTTTAATAATAGAACAGGCTGTCCTATCCACAAACATCAATTTTCTAAAGAACTTGCTGTCCTGAGAGAGCAAAGTGTGCTTGGTTTTGCTTCCCCCTTTCCCCCCAGCAGTTCTCTGGCATGCTGTAGGAGCAAGGCTGGAGCCCACCTGCAGTGATTTAGGAGCAAGGTTGGAGCCCTGATCATCATCATCATCATCTATCCTAGAGATACCTGATGCTGGTACCTCCGAGGCCATGCTACATCTGAGCTAATTGCCAATTACTGGCAGGGCTGGCGCAGTGTGAGGAGTAACCATAGTGCCCAGACAGTGAAGTGTTTCTACCTTTCCAGAGGTTGGCACTTAATTGCTCCTTGGTTTCTTTGTAGTATGTGGACACACTTTTAATTGTTTTCTCCTCTCTGGTCCCTTGTGCAGCAGCGGCACAGGCTGTGCTCTCCTGTGGCCCGGGATGCTGGTTTCTTACAAAGCAAACATCTCGGAGCATTTTGGGTCTTGATGCACATACTTGCATTACAATGGCAGCTATTTGGCTGCTGTGCAGGCACTCCTTAGCCCAGAATAGGGACAGCAACTGTCTCTAGCTGCTTAAAACTTCCTGGCTCAGTTCAGTCTGAAAGCATTAGCTTCCAGCTGATCTAGTGTAATTTGTCTTGGGTGCACTAAAACCAGGGGGGGGAACCTCTTAGCAATGCTGCATTTTGAACTCGGGATCCTGCTGAGCGGGATATAATCTGGGGTCCCTCCTTCCTGCGGGAGCGCTGGGGATGGGGCAGGGAAGAACCAGCTCATTGCGCGTTTGATCCCGAGCTGCCAGTATGAGCGCTGCCCTTAATCTAGATTGATTACTTAATTGTTCGCTGTAACAATTCTGTAATGAAGTTCTGTCTGGGAGGGTGCTCGCCGGGGGATTCGTGGTTGGCAATGGCCTGCCAGGCAGCAAACGTCCCATGTGCTTCATGCGCAGCGGAGGCTGTGGTTTTGGAGGTCTGCTGTTTGGAAAGGCCCCTTTCGGGAGGTCGTAGTCAGCATGATTTCCCCTCCCTCATTCCCAGAGTAAATGTGCTCTAGAACCTGGGGCGCAGCTCATCTGGCAGCTGCAGAGGAGGAGGAGGCATGGGATTTTGCAGAAATACCTGTTGTCTTGTTCAGGTGCAGTGGCTGCAAAGGCTGATAGGAAACCTGGAAATTGTATTACTATGCAGAATAACCTACTTTTTTTCTAAGTGTCTTTGAACAGCAGCTTTCTTAGAAAATCTTTATTACATTTTGTCTCATTGTGGTGAATTTAGCAGATGCAACCACTTTTTTTTTTATTTTAGACCTTGCTATCCTGCATTAAGGTCACATACGGGTACAAGCTTGCTTTGAGAGGGGAAAACCACTCTTCTGTGGTGGGATAACAAGGTGTTAAGTGGTGTGTGAAGGAGTTCTGCAGCCATCCTGGCCACTTGTGTCCAGATCTGCTTCAGCTGGTGTCTTGCTGGTCTCAACCTCTCTGGGACATGATTTAATTTAGTGATCGGATCCTGACCGTGTGCTTGTTTGAGGCAGAGGGAGATGAGCCGGGGGTGCTGACTGTTACTTTCAATTAGCTGGCTGCCTAATGAACTACGTGGTTGGGTGGATTAGCTGTACCTGGCAGGCAGCAGCAGCATGCTGGCAGGGGCTGCCCCCCTTGGGGTGCTGGGTGCCCAGGGACACGGGGTGACAAGCCGGCTGACTCCCTGTGCTCCAGGCTCCAGCAGCCTGGGATGCTGTGAGGTGCTCCGGCTGCTCCCGTGGCGAGCTGCACGCCTGCTGTTTCGCTGGATTCTGCAGGAATCGGTTAGTGCCTGAAATAGCTTTGGCTGAGTAAACAGTAGCAAAAGCACATCAAACCCAAGAAATGCACTTGATGTTGGTAATGGAAGGTGCTTTTGGATATAAATCCAGGCCGGAATTTGCTGAAGGCCTGGACCAAGCGCAGTACTGTGCTGTGTTAAACTAGTTTGAGACTTAAATGAGGGAGAATGCATCATCTAAGAGACCCTTTTCATTTATTTGTTTGCAGTAATAAATAACGAGGGCTTGTGAAGTCCACTGTATGACCTCAGGTAGGGTGCTTTGGGCAGGGTGTTCCTAAGGAACAGTGGTTTGACTGACACACGTGACTGCCTTACAGATAAGATGCTGTGTGTAACATAAAAAATCACCGTTATGGTGGCCCTTTCAAGGTGTGGGTTCGGTGCAATCCGGCTGGCTCACAGTGCGCAGAGCTGCGCTCAGGCCAGCAGCTCTGCTAATGCCGATGTTTCTGGGGCAGTGGAACATAACATGAGGTCAGGGACTGGGATTTGAGGGGTGGCTTGCATTTGAAAACTGAAGGTAGCTTTACAAGTGCTTTTTTTACTGAAGAATTGGTCTTGGGAGGGCACACCCGGTCTTCCTCCTTGCTATTCCCACCTGCTCCCCTAGCTCACTGTCCGCTCTTTCCCCTCTGTCCTCAATACCGGAAAAATTGCATGAAATCTCTTCCTAGCAGGAGAGCCATGGAGTGCCCAAGGGGCATAATGGTCCCATCTCCTAGCTGCCACATCGGGATGCCCTTCCTTCGTGCAGCACGTTAGGCGTGATGTGCGGGGCTTTCTAATCTCTGGGAAGCCTGAGAATCTCTGCTTTCAGAGGAAGAAATGAACTGCGTGAGCTTGCCTCAAGAGTGCTACTTTCAGAAAAGTCAGGAAGAGTTGCTTTCATTCTGCTCAGCCTCTTACTCAAAGGAGCCTGCTGGGAATGATAGGCCATTATATCTCCCCTAAGGCTTGTGCCATTCACTGGGGTAGCTAACTGCTTTAATTGAGTGGTATATGGAGTATTCTGGGCTGGTGTGACCTGGAAGTCTGATAGCTGTCAGCATGGCTCAAAGCTCCTTCTGGGAATAATGTGTGCAAGTGTCTCTCTGCGACTTTCTTGATTAGTGTGTATGGGGATCTTGGATATTAAAACCAATTAGTTGTCTTTAAGGTCAGGGACTTATTTGACCTACCAGCATCCGTTTCAACTTGGCCTGAATTGAAGATCTTTGGAAGAGGGCTGTACAACTTTTGTAAAGAGGCTAATGAAGTGATGCTTTTTAAAGCACTTCCCTGCTGTCTCTGTAGCCCAAACACTTCAGGCAGGACGCTAGTGCATGACAATCTGAAACAGCAGCAGGCAGGTACTGCGGTAGTCTTGTCCTACCATAAGAAATCTAAAAGAGGAAAACCCATTTTTATTTCATGGCTGAAAAGCGCTTTGGTGCTCTGACTCAGAATCCCAAGTAGAGTTTTTTTTTTTCCACAGAGCTTAGCTGATTTGCCCTTGAGAGGGCTAGAGGACATGATGAGGCATTTGATTTTTATGCCATTACTCTAATGTGAAGCATGAGGTCTGGGTTAAATTTGAGACAATGCAGAAGCAGCACTTCAGACATCTGGGATACTTCAGTGGCAAATGGGAGGTACCCGCTGGAAGGCGGACAGGAACTTCCCCAATTTTGTTTTGGCTTTGGATGGATTTGAACCATGAGGCTGCTTTGGGGATTAAGACCTCTGCAGGATCCACCCCAAAGCCATAGGAAAAATGACTATCAAACTTGCCTTTTTTTTTTTTTTAATTTAATTTAAGCCAGTTCTGTGATTTGTGGGGTCTTACCTCCTGACTACATGCCTGGGGTTGGTGCTTCTGAGTTAGCAGTCATGTACTTAAGCGTGCTTTACTTAAAGCAGCTGCCAGAGTTGGTGAGCTTCTCTATCAAGCAAAGTGCTAGTGGGAAAGTAGAAAAGACTCCAAGTACAACTACAGTATCCTTCCAGTTCAGTTTTCTGTCCTAATCTGAGGAAAACAAACTGTTAAAACTGTGCTTGGGCTGGCTAGTGCTCCAGCTGTCTGAGAACAAATGGAATGGGCTTAAAAATGTCCTTAAAGTATGTGGCTGCATTGTTTTAAATAATCTCTGCTGGGGACTGCTTACATGCCTTTAGCTTGCAGCCCTTAGCCTGTACATGTATTCTTTTTTCCAGAGTAGTATCCCAGCTTAAACGAGCAGCTTTTGGAGGACTTGCTTGGTAGTGGCTAACCTGAACACTTGGTTATGGAGTCAAATCCACTGAAGAGCCTGTTTTGTTTTCTTTTCTCTCCCATTATTGTCCAGCAGAAGGGGAGTTACACCGATAACAGTGAAGTGAAGCATCCTTGGCAGGGGGGAGGGAGGCGAGACAGCTGTGTGCATGGAATATGATATGAATACGCTTGTTGCTTTGGTTGGTGGCTGCTCACAACCCCTCTTTTTTCCTTTTTCAGCAATGGTACCAGCATGATATCGTTGATCATTCCCCCCAAAGACCAGATTTCACGAGTGGCAAAAATGTTAGCGGACGAGTTTGGCACCGCCTCCAACATTAAGTCTCGAGTGAATCGCCTTTCAGTACTGGGAGCCATTACATCTGTACAGCAAAGACTGAAACTCTATAACAAAGGTAACTTCTAGCTTGTATGGATGCTGGCAAACTTCCCTCGCTTGGAAGCAGCCTTAAGTTCCTGCGTTATGCAGTTTTCTGCTAATCAAATCTGTTGGCCTGTGCTGCTGTTTTGCAGTGATGTTCCAGGTATGTTGCCCATGGATGACTACTTCAAGGGTAGACCTTAAGACTAGACTAAGCAGGATGGCCCTTGTCTTTGATAAGCAGGCTCATGATTCTGTCCTTAGCAGTGCTAACTCTTCTAAACTTGGCCAGCCTTAAGAGCTGTTCTACAGTAATTCATTTGCATTAAACTAGTGGTTTTCCATCAAGCAGAAACATATGTATGCCATATGCATGCCACTGTGCAACTACCATCATTTTGGGAGGAAATAGACCCAGGCCATCTAAAATGAGTACTGGAAAAGTGTTCATTACTACTGTCTTGACACTGGCAAGTGGCCTTCACTGAGATGGTCAGTCTATAAATCGCTCTGTAAGAGCTAGGAAAGCTTCACGGGAATGTTGAGCCTTTTTCTGGGTTTTATGAGCTTGCAAGCTTATGGGTTTAACAGACAGGTACATATTCTTGCAGCTTTGTTGCAAGTCTTTCCATCAGTGTTACCTTTAGCTTCCTGCTCTAAGCTGTTCAGTATAGGTGCACTAAATTAGTTTGTTTTCCATTGTAGAGATCTGGGGAGGGAGTGAGGTGGGGGAAATGGAGAGTAAAAAAACTTTGGAATTTCAGTTTCCACTCTGCCTTTAGTCTCAAGGCCTAGTAGTTAGTTTCTGATGGGCACAGCTTGCAGTATTTCTTAGTGATCTAAAATTGCATTGTGTCCTTTGTAGTACCTCCAAATGGTCTGGTTGTTTACTGTGGAACAATTGTGACAGAAGAAGGAAAAGAGAAGAAAGTCAACATTGACTTTGAACCTTTCAAACCAATCAATACGTCGTTGTATTTGTGTGACAACAAATTCCACACAGAGGTAAGAAGTCTCCTATTGCCTGCTGGTCTTGCAGTAGTCAAAGTCAGACTGCTTTGCTAGACTCACTGGAACAATCCTTGGTGTGCTTGAGTCCACACTCTGTAGAACAGCAGGCTTTAATTAAGACATCCTGCTGGTGAAGCCACTGGATGGCTTGTGACTGGCTAGTGTTCAGAAATGTGTGATATTTGCTGAAAGCAGCTGAGAGATTGTCCAGCCTATACTACAGCTGACTTTATGGCCCAGCTAGTAACTGCTGAGTTTGTGTAACCCACAGAAATAAGCTTTTCTCTGTAGCTGGAGGCAGGCTTTTTTTTCTTCACCTTAGAGGCCCATAGATCTTATTCCAAGCCAGGCCTTAAAGTAATGCCAAGATAATATTAGTGTTGCCAGTCTTGATATCAGATGTGTTAACTGAGACCCTTGATGGAGAACTGGCGTGTGCCTAATCTGTCTGGTGTAGAGTGGGATTATTTTTATCCAACATCTACTTATCTTATTTACATGAATGGTTTGAAGCGTATTTAAAGTAATGTGGATTACGCTAGTCTTGACTGCATGAAGTCAGTTTATTGTGTCTAAGTCTGTTTTGGCTCTGTTGGCAGTTGCAGAGGTCTCAATATTTGTAGTAGATGACTGACTGCCTTTCACATCCATGGTATTCACCACAATAAATGTGTGGACTGAGACTTAATTGCCTGCCATCAAACCCATATGACATGGGCTTGACAGGCCCTTCAGTGATGTAGTTCTGCTTGTTTGCTTGGGTTTTTGGAGTTCTGATCCGTGATTGGGTTTCAAAGGGTAGGGGGAGTACAGGAAGGAAAGCTATGCTTGTTGTGCAGGTGAGGTACATCCGTATTATTGTGCCTCCCCACCAAGGATGAAATCCCAATACATCTTTGACCTACCAGGAATAACAAAACTGCACAGGTACAGCTCTTGAGTTCCGCTGAGCCCACACATCCGTAGGCAACTGAAAGCACGAGGTGAATAAGAGAATTCAGGAGATAGCCAGAGGTGCAAAGCCAAGGGAGATATTTGTCCCTGCAGTTGTTGACAGTGGTGGGTTGCCTTCTGCCCTATGAGGAAAGGGATTAATTTGGTCTTGGCTGCAGCTGCTGCCTCGGGGCACTGATTCAATACAAAAAAAGTAGCTGCTGCCCAGTGGGCTGTTCCCAGGAGGCAGCTGTAAATACACTCTTGTTGGTGTGTAGCATTGCTCAGCAAGAGAGTGGCAATAACTTGTGAGGAATTTGTGGTAATTGCTACTACTGATGATGTGATTACTAACGACACCTTTTTCCACGGGCTGTTTGCTCTCCTGTGTCTTTTGAGTATGTGACTATTTTACTTGGTATTGTCTGCACTGCAGAATCAAACCTAGCTGTAAAAGCCTACTGTATGCTCTCTTGAGCAACGGGATGATGTTAGCACTGAAGTCCCGATTTGTCTATCTCATTCGGTTGTAGAGCCGTGCTTTTAACTCAGTGGTTCCCCCAACATGCAACTAGAACTCAACAGATAGGGCATCTGGCTCAGGGCATCAACAGCTTTCCTGTGAAAGTGAGGACATGTCAAGGAGCAGAAAAAGGATGTGATCTCACCTTCAGGCTGAAGCTGCAAAGGGGAAACTCGGCCCAGGCTGAAGGAACAGAATAAAAGCAATAGTCCCTATTTTGTGCTTGATAGGTCAAACAGTGGAATCGCTGACGTGGAACTAATAAAGGGGAAACTGGGGGAATCACTGATCATTGGATACTTTATTAAAATAAGAGGGAATCAAGAACATCAGAGCTGTAGTCATCTGCTGCCTGGCAAGAGTATCTGATAAGATTTCCTCTAGATAGTTTATTGCCTGTGTGAAACTGAAGTAACCTCCCAAGAGGGATATGAACCCTGATGTGTGTCTGAAGGGTAGGATTTACAATGACTTATTTTGATACCTTGGCTGGAGCATTCATTCCAGTCACACGATTTGCTTGGCTCTGTCCCAGTTAAATAGATTGCAATGTAATATGCCACTTCCTCCTCTCATTCATCCCACTGCTGGGGAATTAATACAGAATATTTATTTTGGCCAGTAGATTCCATTAAACCTTAGTGTCTGTTTCTTTTAAGCTTGAAAGCTGTAGACTTGGTTGTGTGGATTTTGGATAAAGATGACTGATGGTTTTTATTCTTTCCGTTCAGCCCAATAATCAAGCTGGCAGGCATGCAGGCAGTTAAAGGTCCTGTGCAGTAAACCAACACCATCGCTCTTTCAGTATTAAACTGGTGACTTAAAACAATCTGGAATTTGACAAGTTCTCCATCCTGCTGATGTGTTTTTGCCAGCCAGAAAGGGGATTCTCGCTATTACATTTATTGGGCACGTATAAGTGAACAGAAGTGTGTGTGTGTGCTGAACCTGCTCAGGCTGCCCTTGGAGGAACAGTAGCTGACAGATCCTCTCAAAGGAGCGTGGAGTTTGGGTAGTTGTGGATGTCCTACACCACCAGAACCAGGAAATTTGATAAAAGTAACTCAAAAGCCCTGATACTAAGCAGTGCTTTAGTTGTTAGTCAACTTAAATGACCTTACAGGATGAATTTTGTTGCCTTCTTTAAAGGGAAGAAAATTGAAGGATAACTTCATTTTCCAGCAAATATTATGGCTGTCTTCTATGTAGCCAGTTATGCACAGAATAATTACTGCTGCTGTTACTTTATTCTGCTTTGTAAGGCTGAATTTGTCATAGCCGCTGTAGGTTTCATCATTCTACCTTTGGGACTTTTTGAAGTCAACAGGTGCAGCAAACCAGTATTTGTGGTAGTTGGCGAGTTGAAAGTCTGTATCGGTGCTTTGTAGTATAAAACTAGATTGACAAATAGCCCGATCAGTGAACTAAACAAGTTCTGCTTTCTTGTCTGGAATGCTAGGAGAATTAGTCTTCCAGTTTTGCCAACCGGAGAGGTGATGCAGCCTCGTAGAGGTGTGATCCATTTCACTTAGCACTTTCCAGAGCTAATCTTTAGGGTTTTGCTGTTACACCTGCCTGCCGTGTCATGTGATGAACTGGTAATGCTGTGAAAATAGTTATCAAGTTTAAACATTAGTGTTCTTTCTGCTCTTGGCAGCATTGTGTGAGATAGTAATCTGGGCTAGTCTCACCTCCTGAATCTGCTGCTCTTCCTCTGGTTTATTTGTAAAAAATAGCAATAACCACCTACAGAACTAAAATTTATTGAGGTGTATTGTTTCTGGTAGCCTTTCTGAAGCAGGGTCCTTAATAACTGGTGCTTACTGCTGACAACATCGTTTTCTGTTCAGGCTCTTACAGCGCTGCTTTCCGACGACAGCAAGTTTGGCTTTATTGTAATAGATGGTAGCGGTGCACTCTTTGGAACTCTTCAAGGAAACACAAGAGAAGTCCTGCACAAATTCACTGTGGATCTTCCAAAGAAGCATGGTAACGCACTAGTCTCTCTCTAGACTGTTTGCAGCAGAATATCACGGGGTGGGATGTGAGGGTAGGAGCAGGAAACGTGGCCTGTAGGTTTTTAGCTCTACTCAATTCTTTGCTCCCCTGAAATCTGACAGCAAAGCCTCTGGTCTGAGCCTTCTGTCAAAATTAATGAATCACTGTAATATGCAGTTGATCTTAAAGTGATGCTTTTTATTTCTTGGTGCATTTGACCCTTTACTTGGTTTTGGGACAGTCTTAACTAAATATTACTAGCACAAGTAGTAATACCGCTTGGTAGTGTCTTTAAAGTTTGCATGTGATGGTGTTGCATGCAAACAACAGTGAAAAGCAAGAAGCTGTTCCTTGCAAGAAGCACAGAAGCCTAATGGAGCAAGCAAAACTCTAGTTCCACTGTACGATGCTGTATTGTGGTGAGCCACTGATGAATTCAGCAAATTGTCTGTTAGCTACTCCTGGTTTACTGTCCTTCTCTGTAGATTAGGATGGGACAAAATGAGATAGAAATGTCTCCCCCAGTAAGTTTCTGCAGCAGAGACTGCTGGGATGCATTGCATCAGCAAGAAAGGTCTGTGAGGCAGCGTGACAAAGGAAATGGCTTTTAATGAAGGTACAGGACATAGAAAATATGCACAGATGTTCAAAATTTCTATAGAGAGTTGCGAGTCCATATAAAAAGAAAAAAAAAACAAACTCAACATATTTTCCTCTGTGGGATATGTGGAGAAAAATCTCTTGCTGTGAATGAACGCTCTTTATTCACTTGCTGTTTCAATGAGCGCCCCTGGCTCTGCTTGTGGCAAACTAATTCCAAAGGCTGCATCTGCCCTTGGCTTCAGTTATTCAGGGCCCGGTTGGGACCATGTACTAATAACCTTCCTGAAATGAAATGACTTCCAAATTGCTACCTCACTTCTGTTCTCTCGTAAAGGTAGAGGAGGTCAGTCTGCCTTGCGTTTTGCTCGTTTGAGAATGGAAAAACGACACAACTATGTAAGGAAGGTAGCAGAGACGGCTGTGCAACTGTTCATTTCTGGCGACAAGGTGAACGTGGCTGGTCTCGTTTTAGCTGGATCAGCTGACTTCAAAACTGAATTAAGTCAATCTGACATGTTTGATCAGGTGAGTGGCCTTCTCTGAGCAAAGCCCAAATGTTAAGCTGTCAGTAGTAACATCGTGATATTAGTAGTAGCTCTGGTATAAGATCCATCTCAGGAGGAATGTAACTTTGGTGTCTTAAATGATGTGATCAAAACTAAAAATCTGATGTATCCTAGCGAGATCTCCCTTTCCTAATACCTCCTGCAAGGAGGCAGGATCTCCTTTTCTTAGTAACAGTGCTAATAAGAAATCCGTCTTCCCCGGTTCGGAACCGGTGTTCGTGTTCTTTGTGTTCCCAAATCTAAAGTAGAAGCATTACTGGAATTAAACTCCACTAAACCTAATCTCTGTGGCCCTGTTGCCTGAAAATTGTGCTTCAGTATTAAGCATTCAGAGGTCCCTCCGACTCAGAACCTCGCTTGCAAGTGAAGCAAAATAGATTAGTGCTGTGACTCTTGCCAGGTACTTATTCTTGTGGCATTATGAAGTAGTCTTATGGCAGCGCTGTGTAATAAGACTCTCTTTCATGTCTCCTCTTTTTCTCGTTTAGCGGTTGCAATCCAAAGTGCTCAAACTAGTTGACATTTCATACGGAGGAGAAAATGGATTCAATCAAGCAATTGAGTTGTCAACTGAGGTCCTCTCCAATGTGAAATTCATTCAAGAGAAGAAACTAATAGGTATGTGACTACATGCTCAGCCTTCTGCTGAGCCAGATATGCTTGATTGAATGTGCTGATCTTGCTTAAGACCTCCTGGTAATGCCTTTGTGTGCTGCCTCAGCCCTGCAATGCTTTGAGTTGAGCAGAGCATGACTTGTAGTGATTCTTTGTTACCTGGACACCTTCTCAAATGCTGCAGGACTTAATGAGACTTTAAGGAGTGGGGTGTTTTGTTATTTATTTTTTTCCCCCCCACCAAACCTCTCAGATCTTCTCTGTTTATCTTTTCATCAGAGATTGCCTTAGTTTCAGGCCTTCTGGTGACATTTGGGTGGGAGGGGAAAAAATATCTCCTCAGACTGTTTGCCTCTTCAGCAAGATGAGAGTTAAGATTTATTTTGTTTTAAGATAGCAGTAGAAGTGATCCCTTGTTTGACTGTCTGCAGACACACGTTGCTAATTTGAAAGCACAAGAGGGCAATAGTAACAGCTACCTTACGCTGAAAAGAGTGAAGTTAAATAGTGCCTGCTGGTGGGTTAATCCAATTGATTGTTTCATAGCGAAGGTAAGCCTTTCAAGGGAGTGAGATTCCTGATGGGGCAGTGTTCGATGGAGCTGACTTTCTGCCAGTGAATGTTCTAAATTACGTGCTTTGACGTGTTATCATATCTCTTGCTTCCTTCAGCAGCATTGCAGTCTCCTTTTCCAGTTTCTTCTTGAGTTCAAATCAGGCTTGTTTAAAAATCCACGTGGCATGATCAGTGTTTGTGACAATCTCTTTCTTTGTATCCTGGCTGCAGGACGATACTTCGATGAAATCAGTCAGGACACGGGGAAGTACTGTTTTGGCGTTGAAGATACACTAAAAGCTTTGGAAATGGGAGCAGTAGAGATACTGATAGTCTATGAAAATCTGGATATAATGAGATACGTTCTGCACTGCCAAGGCACGGAGGGTAGGTGGCGCTTCCGTGAGACCAAAAGGTCCATCAGGGTTTAAGGCCTAAGCCCTCTCACTTGGATTAAGGACTTGATCAAGGGGATGTTGTGTAGGCAGGTCGCTAACTTGCAGCTTCCCAGCTACTCTGGGGGGGAAAAGTCTGAAACTAGCAAGCTTCCACTGTGGAGAAAGAATTGCAGTGCTGGGGTGGCAGCTTGCCATGGAGCTAGCATGAAACCTGCCTCTCAGTCGTGTAAGTATAAACGTGATATCACTGCATTATAGAGGGGAGACTGACTTGACCGTTATGGCCAGAAACACAGTTCTTACTGACTATAGACAAACCGTACACCTACAGCAGGACCTCTGCCTGTTTTGGTTTTGGCACTACAGTTATCCTCTACTGGTTTGCCCTGTTTGGTTTCCCGTAGAGCTTCAACTAGAAAGAAAGGTAGTGTCAATGACCAAACCCTCTGTGTTGCAGTTGCTGGCTGTTGTGAGTTTCTTGCTGTCTTTAACCTGCATCTGGTAGTCTTATCCAACCTAATAATTTTTTTTCTCTCCCTCTCAGAGGAGAAGATCCTGTATTTGACACCAGAGCAAGAGAAGGATAAATCCCACTTCACAGATAAAGAGGTATTTCAGCTTTCGGGCTTGTAGATTTATTTTCAGTGTACTGGTGCAGCTTTCTGAATACCTGAGCTTAGTTTGTCGCCAGCATGTGAGCATGGGGGCATTTCTGGCACTCAGGTGAGACTTCAAGAGGGTAGCCTGTGGCTCTTCCTGTTCACCTTCAGTGTAACCCCTGGATTCTAGACTTGCTTTTCTCCAATCTTTCCTGTTGCCAATTCCAAGGTTATGTAAATGAGTTGAAGTGACCACCATCAAACCATCTGCTAGAAGAGTTTGGTAGCCACCACGCAATGTGCAGGCTAAGGTCCCAAACCATTACTCCCTGCTTATTGCACACTGATTTGGTCAATACAAAACAACTGTGAGGCTAGAAACTATGACGTAGATTTAAGTGCAAGGGAGTGTTTGCTTCTAGATATATTTGACATGTGGATCTGTCGTTCACTGCCTGTGAGTTTCTTGCCTGTACAGGTCAAAAAGCCCCGATGGGGCTGTATTACTGTGCAGAGTAAGCTGGGCAAAAAAGTCTGTCCCTTGCACAAAGGGTGGTCATCTCTGTCTCGCATTAGGACTGCCAGGGTAGCCCTTTCCAGCTGCTTTCCCTCCTGGTGGGGTAACTGCTAATTCCTTCTGTGCACGGAAGGTTTACAATGTTATCTGCAATGATGTAGTGTTTCTATGCCAATAATCACTTGACCTTCTACTTATAAAACTGTGCTTTTTGCCTCTGTATTTGCCTAGATCAGTATTTCCTAGAGTAAACAGTTCCTGGTTAGATGAGTGGCGATGAACCGTTTGTGGGGTATAAAGCAAATCTAAAGAAAGAGTGAAAACTAAGTGTGTAGCATGAGGGGACAGTTGAGCAGAATAAACAAGGCATTTTCTCTCCCACTTCTGCACTAACTTCTGTAGTATGGAGGCCCAAAACAAGGCCTGTCAGTATTTAATTTCTTAGCACCAGGAGCCTTCTGCTTGTGCCAGCACTTGTCTGAAACACACGCGTCGGGAATGCCTACCACCCGGACCCTGGCAAGTGTGGGGGGCTGCTCCAGCCTGCGGAGCAGGAAGGCTGGTGTGTCTGTCTTAAGACTGAAAAGGCAGGGGTTATGTTTAAGCCAAAGACAACTTTTGGTGTGAATTTTCTCAATACCTAACATGCAGTGACTGTATCTTTTTTTTTTTTTTTTCTCCTCAAATGTCTACATAGACTGGCCAGGAACATGAACTGATAGAAAGTATGCCCCTTCTGGAGTGGTTTGCAAACAACTACAAGAAATTTGGAGCAACATTGGAAATTGTTACAGACAAATCACAGGAAGGATCCCAATTTGTGAAAGGATTTGGAGGAATTGGAGGTAAACTGCAAGAGAAGAATGTGTAGTTTGTTTTTGGTTTTTTTTATAGTGGTTGATTTGATAATCTGGTGCCAACACCAGAAGTGGAAAACTAAACAGATTAATCTTACTTCTATTAGTCACGATACCAGTTTAAGAAACAGTCATGTTCATCAGGGGTCTCCAGGTGAATTCATTCTGTATTCAGCAATATGATGCTGCATGGGCTGTCACTTTCAGACCGTGTTCCTCAGGTCCCTTTGTCCTTCAGAGTGCTCGGAGGGTGGACTGTCCTTCTTTCCGGCTGCTGAATTTCGGAAGGGCCACGAACTGCTTCGCTCTGTATCTGCACAGTTGTTGTTTTGTGGCAGACCATGCCCTGCTGTGTAGAAGTGGTGTATGACAAACACCAGCCTAGTTTCTGAAGCAGTTGGATATCTGCTTCAGAACTTCCCTGTACTTTGCTCCCCAGTCTTCCTCTTCTTTTCAAAATAAAAATATTTTTAGCCCAACTTCATGGAGAAATGAGACTTCTGAAATCCTTCAGTCCTTCTCTTGAACTCACTGACCAGTTTCAGCTAAGTCTGGCAGAGGTGCTCATGTGCTTCATTCTGACAAAAATCATTAGCAAAAACACCTGCCATGCACCTTGTTCTCTCCAGACCAGTGATTCCAGGACAAAGCTCTTGCTTATTTGCTGATAAGCCAGCTGTTGCCAGTTACTGTGTTCAGGTTGATGGATGTACAATAGAGATGAGTGTATTTTAAAGAGGAATTTCTAGGGGCGAAAGAACACCAGTCAGAAGGAAGCAAGCTTGAATTGTTTGGTTACCTAAGGAGCAAAAAGTTTCAAAGTTTTCAGGGTTTATAATTCCAGGAGTCCTTCCCATCCTGCCAGATCCAGCCTCTTTGCATGGTGGGATACTCTTTGCTACCATGCCTCAGTCCCTGCAGACTTGAAAGGAAATATTCCTTGAATACCCTTCACCTAAGTAAATGTTTCCAGGGATACAGGCTTCCCAGAAAGCCAGGTTGGTGTTTGGGGTGGGAAGAGTCCAGGAAGACAGCCACTAAATACTGCTCTTACTCCATTGTAAAAGTTACTCCAGTGCCAGCTGCCTTCTGAATTTAACTGATAGGCCTTTGAGCAGTTATAATAGGACAAATAATCTGTTACTGGTGTGGGGTTTTTTGGGGGGGGAGATACAGTCCTCCTAGAATAGGCTTGGCTTTTCCAGAAGAAAGCCGGTCTGTGCTGAGCAGGTAGGTATTTCTTCCTTTTGGCAACAAATTACATCAGGCTGTAAGATGGATGTGGCGTTTTCACTCTAGCCGCGTGTCTGCTGTCAGTCATGAGTCTGAGCCTATCTTGCAATACAAGTGCTACGTCAGCTTCTGAAAATTTAATTGAGAAACTCTTGACGTGCAGACAGGGCTCAGTAAGCTGCGTAAAATGCTCTTTGAATTTTGAAGAAGCTAAAGCGTGTTGTTTTTACCAGGTATCTTGCGGTACCGAGTGGACTTCCAGGGAATGGAATACCAAGGAGGAGACGATGAATTTTTTGACCTTGATGACTACTAGGTAGTCGACCTGGGTCCGGCAAAACGTGCCTCGCCCCTCCAGCATCCAACCCAAGGAGCAAACTCATGGTGGAAAACACAACAGATCCCTGCCTTAGAATTGGAACATTTCCAGAACTTGATCCACAAGCATTGGATTTAAAAAAGCAAAACCCTACACTTTGATTTGTCATAGTGTCAGTACAGCAGCAAACTACTAAGTTCCTATATGCCACTTTGGACTAATTTAAAAAGAATCCCAGTTTTTACTTTTACTCAATGGTGAAATTGGTTGCTCTTGTATTTTATGAAAATGATTTTTTTAACCTTCATGATACATTAACTGCTGTAAACCTCTTCCTTCAAAAATTAATAGAAGTAAGATCCTACTGGTTTGTTTCTTTTTACTTTTGATTGGAGAAATCAATCGCTGCATTTTGCAGCAATGTGACCCATTTACATGGCATTCTCAGCTTAGACTGCAGAAGAAGAAATGTAATGAAATTGAAGCCATTCATTCTCTTCAAAAGAATGAGAAGGCACTTACCTGGAGTGCTAGCTTATAATGTGTGGCTTGCAAATTCAGATGGTTTGGGGAGGCTTACCAGCCAAACGTGCTTTAATCTATTTGCAGAAGCACTGCTCTTACAAACTAGGAAATGCACTTCATTGATTGCGAAGAAAATGCTGCTGAAGTCTTGGGCTTAATTTGGATTTGAGCAGTGCAGCCTTCAGGATTTTTTTTTTTTTTTCAGTCTTGACAAAAATAAACATGATTTAAGTGAAGTAAGGTACACTTTGCTTTGTTTTGTTCCTCAGTTAGTTTTTCTTTTTGCTTTAGGACTGCGTAAGGTTTCCTTGATTATGTGAATTTGAACCCACAGGTCTTTAATGGAAGCGGGTAATTTACAGGAATAATTAGTAAGTGGAGTCCTTGACCGAAACCTTAGTACTGGTGCATTTGGAGCATTTGATACAAAGACGTTGAACGTTAGCACAACCCACTGGGGTCATCCATCTCCCAGCACTAAGGCAGTCCGGCTTGGCTCACGAGTGTCCTGTAAATCTGATGCTGATCTCTAATGCGCCCTTAATGGGTTAAAACTTCTGGTTGCATCAAGACTCAAGAAAGCTTTGCGTCATGCCTGCTATATAGAATGCATTTCAACCTACTAGAAATGGCTAAGGGTTTTTCAGCCGGTCTTGCAGGCAGAGGGTGAAGTGAATCGTTGGCACGAGGTAATGCACAAGGCTTGCTTCTTTTTGGGGGTTGCTGGGTTCTCTGACGGGCACTCTGACATCGCGGTGCCTGGCAGCTCTGTTCTTCACTGGCTCTGTCACTCCTGGTGCATCGGTCAAAAGCAGCTTCTGTTCCAAGTTGCATACCTGCCTATTTTTCCGATAATCCTGTTTCACTTGAATGGAGGGGGAGCTTGTCTTAAAATTTCTGCCACACTGTTCTTTGAGGTCCAAAATGACTGTCGTTGTGAGCAATACAGTTTGTAACCCTGGTTTCTAACCTGGCAGATGGCTTTGCTGTCGTTTTCACATCAAAGCTGGAATCTCTCACGGAAGGTGTGACTGGGTCCGCCGTAGATCTGCGCAAACCCAGGTTTGAGCACATTTGCGGTCTCCACAGCGGTATGTTCTGGATTTTGCCATTGTAAATGGGTCTAATGTGACATGACAAGACCAGAAAAATTGGATGTAAATTTACATTTTTGAATATACTGCTTGTTGTTTCACATGATACATTAGGGTATGCAGCTCCTTTTTGTAGTTTTTATTTTTACTATTTAAGTTTGGAAATGATGCCAAATTTTTGTATTTCTTTAATCAATGTGTTCTCTTCAGTGATATATATTGCATTATATATTGATGTGTATATCAATATATACTGATATGTATTACACTTACACATACAAACACATTAAACGGGGGTGAAAAATCCTAGCCTTCGCATACTATATAGCCTCTGCAGAGAGATCCCAAGCAGTGATATCTTGGTGTTGTGATGTACAGAAATGGAGAAGAGTATTAAACCATATTTAAGAATATAGTACGGACTCCTGATTTATTTCCTCTAGTCCAGGAAACACCGGCTTTACTCTGTTTGGTGCCAGATTCAGGTCAGTACTTGAGTTTCGAGGTAGCTGCTTCATAGCTGGGCTTGAACATCGTGTTTCTTCATCATACCGAGTTGCTCTTTTAAGCTGTAGCAGAAATCAAACTTCAGAAGGGAAGGAAAAAACGCAAGTTCAAAGCAAGTTGTGCTGTGAGCGTTACCTGAGGTGGTCTTCTGAACAACGGAGGCAGATGAAAAATACCCTGCGGATGCAGAAACCTGCCTTTAATATTCCAGTCATGGAACACCTGGGTGGTTTTTTTTAAGAAGCCTTTTCTACCCTGCCTCTTAGTGCGGGAGAAATCCGGATCAGAGGCGTACTTGCCGCGTGGGCCTGCTGCCTCTGCTTTCTCCGGTGTCCGGGCTAGGTGTGTTGATGACTTTCCCAGAGAGGACCTGCCTCCTTCCCTAGCTGGGAAGGTGATATGTAAAAGGCACCATTAATATCAGGAATTTTAACGGATGCTTTAAATCACCTGTCAGCTGGGCTTGCCTAGCAGTGATTCTCTGGCTGAAGCTGAGCATCCCCCTTCTTGTCCTGCAGTACCAGAGCAGGATCTGTGCCCTGTAGCTGCTTGCCTGGTGCCCTTCCGAGCTCGTACAGCAACAGGAGCTTGGGCAGACCTTGGCCTCACACTCTCTTTGATCTGCAGTTGTAGCAGGCGGGAGAGCAGAGCTCGTGGTCCTCGGGTCTCTGGATAGCAGAAGTTTTGGAGATGTGAGGTTTCTGCTGGAGCAGAATTAAAAATGATGCACAAAACCACTTTGCTGCATGCGTCTCATGCCATCTACAACCTCGGTACAGAAAACTGATCACCATTTGGCTTGTGGTGCAGATAAAAGCATCAAGCTGAGATCATCCCAAAATATAAAAAAAAAAAAAAATAAAAAAAATAAAAAAATCCCATCAGTCAGCACATGTCACCGGAGAAGCTATTGCTTGCAGAAAACTACCCCTGCAGTCTCACCAGTTGGTGTGACCAGGCATGTGGATGTATATTGTTTTCAAAAAAACAAAAAACAAACCCAACAGAAATATTTCTCAGTTAACCCTTTACTGGCAGCAACAGCAAACCTGGTTTCTGCTTTTGAGTTTTGTATTCCAAGGGAAAACGAGGAGCAGCGAAGCCTGGCTGCTGTGGAGGGCTGCGCGAGAGCTGCCTCGTTCAGCGTCACAAACGCTCCACGTCAGACGTGCTTGGGAGCTGCTCTTCCCTCGCGTACAAATCTTCTTGGCTGGTTCTCATGTCTCTTCCCCTTCACGTTTCCGTGAGAAAACACAAGTGCGTCTAGTCGGCAGAGCGGCCGCGGGAGCCCTGTGCGGGGTCCCCTCTGCGCAGCTGGCCCCTGCAGCTGCCTGCAGAGCTGCTCGCGTCCGCCCGGAGGCACCTTCGCGGTTACAGAAGGATGAGGCCGCTGGAGAGAAACGCGATGAAACTATTTTCTTCCTTGTATCTGCTGAAAAAAGGTTGCTGGGTCCCTTTAACCCTTCAGAAAGCAGTTCCTGTCACAGGCTTGCTTTTTTCCCGGTCACAGGGGTCAGTGTCAGCCCTCGGATTGTCTCATATTTGAAAGCGCTGATTTACAGCCGTCTTTTTTCGCGTCAAATATCGCAGAGCGTCAGGTAGGTTCTTCCTGGCGTATAAACCCGAGCATCACCTTGCAGCGCGCTCATCCGGGAGACTTGACCGCCTTCGCCACGCTGGAGTGCTGCGACGTGGAATTTGGAAGCGAGTTCGGTGGGACCGAGTTTGCGCGCTCTCGGGCCCAAGCGATCAGAGGATGTGGGTTTGTATTTGAAAGCCAGGCAGGCTGGCCTTCTGCATGCCTGCTCTGCTCTGGGCTCTTAAATAATTACTTCCCCGGAAGGGATCTGATCTTGATTAGCTGGAATCAAGAGAAGAAACAAAGTGTCGTTTGCAGTAGGTCGCGTGGAGCTGCTGCTGCGCGTCGCGGAGAGGTCTGAAGCGCACCCCGAGGGTCCGGTCCCTCTGCCGCTCCACCCGCGCCCTTTCACGCCTGGACTCGGAAGCGGCGTGCCGCTGGGCGCGCACCGCCGCAGCCGCCTGCGAGGAGGCTCGCGTGAGCGGTTGTAGCGGATGATCAACTTCTGCTTGCTGTCTGAATGCATTTTTTTTTTTCTCGTTCCAAAGGGCTTCAGCTCCCCTAAATGCTTCAACCATGTGTGCCTTACGCCCTCGGTAACACCTGCTGAGTTTTTATTCCATGTGTTGTTAAGTCCAGACCACTCTTACTGCATTCCCCGGTTCGGTTTTAAGTTGGCACCGCGTGCTCAGATATTCTAATAATGCTCTTTTTAAACGCTACTTTTTGTATTGCTGTAATTAAATACAGAATTTGCCCTTTATAACTCGTTATTTCGGGAGCTGGAGCCCGGCCCGCGCTGTTGTTGCTAGCAGGCTGCAAATGCCATTGTCCTGGGAAGCCGAGTGCAGCCAGCGGCGCTGAAAGGCAGCTCTGGAATTTCACTCGGCTATTTTTAGTTGGTGGTGAAAAATTGCACTTCCAACACTTTTGAATCTTTGTCAGTGCTTAAATAAATCAAAGGGCAAATCCTGACTTCTCGCTAACGAGCGGGAGAGGAGGTGACCTTAAGCTGCCACGGAGGCTGAGCTGGAGCAAGGGTGAAGCGCGGGTGGGGGAAGAGTCCCAGCTCTGCTCGCCTGATGCTGCCTTGCTCGGAAGGGGCTGCGAGGGTGGTGGGCCGCCGCCCCACAGCCACCAGCCTGTCCTGCTTTATGCAGGTGGGCCATGGCCATTGCTCTGCTGGGGTGGTTCCTGGCTCCTTGCTCTTCTCCTCATGCCCCTCTCGGGGCCGGTCACCCCCCTCTCCCTCTGCCTCCCCGGGTTTCCTCCTCCGTAGCTCCACGGTGGTGCCACGCATGCAGCCCTGCTCTCCGCAGAGCCGTGGTGGTGGCTACCCTGGACACGGCAGCTCTTTGAAAGCCGGGACCTGGAGGCAGGAGCTCCTGAAGGATGCTGCGTGCAAGTTCGGGTGGCTGAATATTAAACTGTCATGTGTCGGGCTATTCCCTTCGACCTCAACCACCTCCGTGGCTGTAAGGCAAAACCCACTTCTAACCTACAGTTTCTTCTTTTTAATGCTAGGGCAGGAGTTTTCTGAGAAGCTGCTTCACCTGTTTGGCCACCAAGTTTCCACACTGGCACAAAAAACCTCATTCTCTGGTAACGGGATCCTCACAGCTGAGTTTCCTTGTCGTGGTGTTCCCTGCCGTGTACTTGGAGAGTCCCAGGCGGCTGCTTTGCTGCTTTCTTTCCCTGCGCTCTGACTTCAGGACTTTGTTTGCGTGGGGAGACCCTTGGCTAGGCTTGGTTGTGGCTCCTGGCAGCCTCCAGTTACCCGAGAGCTGCTCTGCACATCGCTCAGGCTCCAGCAGCCCCGTGGAGGTAAGACGGTGCTGAAGGCAATAGCTCCTGGAAGGACGCGTGCAGTGACCCAGGCTGTGCAGCTACCAGAAAATCCCGGCCAGCTCCGGGACACCCTGAAGCGTCCCCAGGGGAGGAGACCCACGACTGGCTCCGGCGGCGGGTGTGCGCAGGACAGCCCCTGCCCACGCTGCTAGGTGCCGTGGAGCCAAGCCCCCTGGCCAGCCCGCAGCAGAGGGCAGCCGCAGCCGGCTCCTGCCCTGCCCTGCTCCTGGTGCTGGCAGCTGCCAGAACGGGTGAGCTGGAGGGTGCTGCTGGGTAGTGAAGCCCCAGCGTCACAGCAGAGGGTGCAGCACAGCGGGGAGGCGGTGTCGGGAG